GGGGGGGGGGGGGGGGGGGGGGGGGGGGGGGGGGGGGGGGGGGGGTCTGGGCGGCAGGATGACTGATAGAGACAGACACAAACAGACAAAAAGCAATAATTACTACTGCCTGCTTTCACAAAGTATGTGATGTGTAGTGGGACACTGGGAAAAAATATAATAAATCCAGGCATGGGAGAAACCCTCCCCCGCCCCCACCCAACACACACACAAATCTAATTAAATTAAAAATAAATTGCTGTTTATCTGAGTTATGAAGTGCTGCAAGAACGAATCAACAAAACACGGCTGTGGAGGAAGAGGAGGAGGAGGAGGAGGAGGAGAGACGTCAGGCAGCGTGTGAACCGACCTTCCACTCCTGCCTCGTGTGGTGAGAAGATCCTGGCGTCTCCACAGGGGGAGGTGCTGATGTAGAGGTGGAACTGGACGTTGTCCTTTAACCTGTAGCCCCCCTTGTCACAGTGCACAAATATGGACTTGTGTTGGTCGTCCTTGGTGATGCTGGCAGGAGAGACAGACGGACAGGACGGGGGTTCAGAATTATTGAAGTAAGAACACACTCTCAGTGTCTAATCTGTGATGTCACACGTCTGTGTGTCGTGCAGAATGACGTCATCGCCAAAGTCTTTTTTTTCATCTTTTGTTTCTTTTGAATCAACAGATTTTCCCAAATTCAGACTCAAACATAAAATTGTCCTTTTTTTGAATGAATCACATTTCATTTCTCAACACTTTTTAACGGACGACTACAACGACACACAGTGTATTTTAATTAATTCCATCATTTGGATGAATTTTTGGATTAGTCCCAGTTGAACAGAGGAAGTTGAATGAACGTTGATTGATTCTGATTAATCATGTTTGTTATAATCAGAGCCACTACTTTACTGAACCAACAATAACAGTAAAAAATTTTTTTTTTTTTAAATTAAATGTTTTTGTTCTTTGTAAATGTCCAAAAAATTCCTAAACTGCAGGTTGGGCAAAAAAGACAAAAAATTTTCTTTAAATTTAAGTTTGTTTTTTTAAAAATTCAAGATGAAAATAAAATAAAATAAAAAAAGTTTTCATTTATTGACAGCTGACACTGTCCAACTACAACCAGGTGGCGCTGTAATACTTGTAAACATCCATCTTGAAAATCTTAAAAATGTGTCTTTGTTCCGCAGCCTGACGGTTGCATCTATTTTTAGTTCAATACAAGTGTCCTGACATGTGTCCTTATACATGTGTCCTTATATGTGTCCTATAGGAAACACAGGACGTTACGTCCACTGACCTGAGGAAGAACTCCAGCTGAGTGTAGAGGTATCTGATGAGCGAGCGTCTGGCGATTATCTCGGCGTGACAGTCATTGAGCGCCAGGCCGCGGTCACTCATGTACTCACCGTTGATGCACTTGGTTCCCGTGGAGACACATATGACCTGTGCTTCCTTCACATCGGTCCCTGGTAACAGGAGGGAGAGGGAGAAACAAAGACGGATTAAAAAAACATATGAAGTGTGTGAATGACATCATCTGAAAATTAATTACAATACAAACTTTGCTGATTGTCTCAAATAATGATAAAAAAAATGTGACTAATCTCAATGAATTAATTAATGAACACAACACAAATAATGAGAATTCCTTTACCTTAATCATTGACAGGGAAGTTATTCCAACAACAACCAGACAGAGTAAACGATAAACTTCATTTTAGTTCTGAAGTTTAACTGATTGAGCTGTGATAATAACCCACTGTGGTTGATTAATCATCAAGTAGGAAAATAAAGTAATGACTTGGACATTAACTCGTCACGTTTGTTTGTTGAAAAGATGGGTAATGACTTGGACATTAACTCGTCACGGTTGTTTGTCGAGAAGATCATGAAAATAATAGAAAATTTGATTTTTGAGGGTTTTTTTAAAGGACATATTTAAGAAAACTCGTACTTTACTTTTACACAGAAACCCTGATTTATTTGTAGTATATTCTGTGATGAAACACACAGTCACCCTCCTAACCCACCTGTTGTCATGACGACTCCCGCCAGAACTTTCCGTCGTGCGTGTGGGGAGGTGAAGTTGTCCGTCAGTTCACTGAACTTATCCACCACTAGACGAGAAACGGCGTCAGCCAGAACCTGGAATCACACACACACACACACACACACACCAACGTGGCACAGCCACACGAAAGACAAACTGCTGTCAGAGACGTCGTCGTACAGAGACGACGTGATGTCGTCCACACCCGTCACCGTCAAACAAGAATCAGACACTCGAAGACAACAACAGGTTCAGGTGGTGAATAAGTCCGTTCACGTCGTTCACACCAAACACAGGGTGAATCTAAGTCAAATCTAAGCAAAACCCGGTTTGTTGACTTTAGAGGTGAGTTATAACAACAGTCAAAACTCTGCGGTGACATATGGACTGGACCGGACACATTTGTCTTCCCTGGACGTCCAGCCCAGCTGGTCGGCTTTTTGTCCACGGCTAATGTGATGGAAAAGGATAATAACGGAGCGGAGAGACGACGGCTGGATGACCGCAAATTAAAGAGATTATTCCAGTATTACTTCCCTCCTGCTTCAGAGTCACCGGCTCGTAGCCGGATCGTTTGACTCTGGAATGACAAGGTTGTATATGGAGTGGAGAGGAATATAAATCTTCAGGGGTCTGTAACAGTCACAAAGCTTACTTTCTTTTACATTCTTTTGGAGGCGGAAAGAAAAATCAATCAAAATAAATCTGCTTGACACAAAGAAAAATAGTGGCGTACTTAAATTTCCAGAAAAACTGGAAAAACTTTGTGGTGAGTTTTGATATTTAGAGCATTTTTATGATCAACTTCATACTTTAAAACCGAGGAGTTGTTTTTGGGCCAACAACAATGTTCAAAAACAACAAAATCCAGGTTTGATGCCTGACAATTTCTCGGCGCCCCAGCACCAGATGACCGGAGGCCAAGTACTGGTCCACGGCCAGGAGTTTGAGCATCTCTGCCTCACAGTATTTAACAGAAACTGGTTCCTGTGCTGGAGTACAAATATTTTTTCCATTTATCGTATTTGTCAGACAAGAAAAAAAATAACGCTGCACTCAGTGGACACAACTATTAAATTAATGAAGACGGAAGGTGAGTAAAGAAAGAAAAACAATGATTTTGAACAGGAGGCTGTGGACGTCGTGTCACTAACGGTTATCAACCTCTCAGACGCTGTCGAGACTCAGACCGGGAAACGTGACGAGAATCAGGTTTTAGTAAAAATTAGCATTCCATTAGAGAGGTCAACAAATGGAGCAGCTCAGAGTGGACAGGTAAGTATATCGCAATATATGGTTGCGTATCGTATCGTCAGATTCTTGCCAATACACACCTCTAATAAATACACGCTTGTTTGACTGTTAGGTTTTTAGGTCATTGTTTTTTCTGGGATCTGATTCTGCAGCTTCTTACAGACCAACACCAACACTGTGTGTTGTCAAAGTCTGTTGGAACAGCCTGGTCATGATAAATATTTCATGGTGTTGACCTCGTTCAATCGGTGTAAAAAAAACAACATAATAATGGAGTGAAACAACGCAGAAAGGTTGTGTTGTGGTCAGTAAGTTCAACAATTTATAAAGAATTCATGTCCTACCTGGGGTAAGTGGAGCTGCAATCCCTCTCTTGGTATGGGTTGCCGTGACGGGGTCTGGTCTAGTTGCATATTGAAGAGAGCTGAGAGGGCGGCCTGCGCTGCCCGGGCTTTCGCTAGCTTCTTGTTGCGCCCTGAACCTTCAAAAGTCTGTGCATCCACCGTTACTGACATGACAAAATTCTTAGCGTGACTCTCCCCACTCTCTGAGACAAAGTCATACTTGAGGCCCGGTCTGAGCTCATTGAGAATCATGACTGGGTTTTTGCCACTGGAGGGTGAAGTGAACGCCGACGGAGGGGGCAGCGGGGCCTGGACAAGGTTGCTGCCAGGCGGTGTCGGCAGCGGGTACTCCCCGAGCGAGTTCAAGGAGCTGCTACCGTTGGAGCCTAGATAGAAAGACTCTTCGGGCGCAGCCGGGGTCTCAAAGCCATTGAAAAGCATGTCGGGGAAGTCGGCTTGGTCGGATGTAAAATCCGTGTTGACTGTCAGAGTCCGACCCATGGCCAGGTGTGCCTCGGAGGCATTGGGGAACTGGACAAAAGAGCGCAGCGCCTTCTCGGCCGCGTTCAGTTTGGCCTTCTTCTTCGTGGGGCCCATGCCCTCAAACATCTGTCCGTTGACCTCTACGGTCATTACAAACACCGGGGCGTGGACCGGTCCCGTCTGAGACAGCAGTTTGTACTGAAGACCCGGTTTGATTTCATTCAGCTGCATCAGGGCATTCTTAGGCAGAACCGGCCCCGGGGTTTTCTTGCGCTTTTTGGCTCGGAACTTGGAGTGCGTATGTCCATTGGTTCCCTCCTCGAGGGGACGCTTGCGATTGCTCGGGCCACTTCCATTGGGGAGCTGTTCACCCACTCCCTGCCCGTCTTTGCAGGACACGTTGTCCAGGTTTCGGTTTTCCTTTACGTCGGTGCTGCTTGAACCTGCGGTGCCCAGAAAGAGTAACTTACAACGCCTTCGTTGCAGGATCTTGTAAATGCAAAATTTATAGATTCCTTTATCACTCTTTGGAACTGAATGAATGATTTGTGTTCCTTTATTTCCACAAGAGAGATTTGAGTTAAAGTCAACATTCTCTGATTGGCTAATATTACTACATGATTAGCACGTTATTGATTTATCTAGTCTTGTAAAAATGATGGCAGGAGCATGTGTCCGATGTTGAAACTGGAGTGAAAATTTTATGGTAAAATAAAACAGTACTTTATCCAGAAAGTTATAGAAGTAATTTGTTGTTTTACAAAGTGTTTAAAATTTGTTACAACAAAAATCTACGTTCCTAATAAAAATATATGGAACACTTTTAAGGTTTTACAGCCCTAGGGGTTTAAGATGGTACTGCACAAGTGTAAAACAAAACAGTGATGGGGAAACAAGAAAGAGAAAGAAAAGAAGGAAGAATGAATTAGAAAGAAATTAAAAGATAGATGTGAAAGTGTTAAAAAAAAAGAAGAGACAAAGAAGTTGAAGTAGAAAAAAAGACAAATAAGAAAATAAAATGACAGGATAAAAAATTGCACAAATAATAATAGAATTAAAAAAAATTAAAAAGTGAAAAAGAAAAGGAAATATAATTTGAAAAGACAATTAATGAAAAAAAAGAAAGAAACGGAAAGAGAGAAAAAATTAAAGAAAGAAAGACAGGAGGAACAAATGAGCTCTTCCCTGATTGGTCCAACACTTTTTAATCTCCTGAGAGCCTATAAAGAAATCGGATCCATTTTTAATGCTCTGATATACACTGAACAGGGGAACACATATCACTGAATCCAGTTAGCAAAGTGGATGGAATATTGGCAAAAATTTTCATTTATAACATCCTTCAGCAAAGGCTTGATAGGTTACTCCTTGCGGTACTCAGGAGAAAGAGAAGCCGCAGTGTGCATAAGTTGGACTGTAGGTTGGGGGGAGTTGAGGGAGTGCAGGGGAGGAGTGCAGAGGGAAGGAGCTGAGGACCAGGCAAACAGGACAACACATCATATAGGCAGAAGGAGGAGAGTCCACCGACTGCAGGATCGCAAAGGCTTGGCTGACTGCTGGCATGGAGGAAGCTTACAGTGCTGTTTGGTCAGAATTTTAAAAAAGGAATGACTGACGGATTAAGAAAATGAGGGGCGGGGTCTGAACATGACAGACATTAGGTTCTAATGAGGTGCCATTCACAAGACCGTGGCCTCTGAGATCCCCCCCCCCAACATGGAGTCTGTCAGAAAACACAGTGTGTTTTTTTTTAGTTGCAGTCTGAACCAACATGCTGTTATGATCTGCACATGTCAACTGACAGGACTAAAAAAAAAAAAATAAAAAAAAACAAGGATCAAAAACACAAAATGCACATCCACACTCCAGCAGCTCTACTACGTTCATGCAGTACTCCTCGTCTGTCAAACTACTACAGAGCTCCGCAGCAGGAGAGGAAGTGCACAAAGCAGTAGAGTGGTGGCTCAATATGTGGGTTAGGGTCTCAGTCACTGAGCGTCTCAGAGAAAAACTGCTACAGAATGAGTTAGTGTAGATATAACTGCCGCTTGAGTATGACGTTTGAGGTCAAAAACTGTTATTTTAGGATTAACGTACGCACAGGGGTAAGTCAAAAAGTCCTCAGACGGATGAACCACAGAAGAAGAATGACACTTGACACAAATTTACCATTAACTTCCACTTGATTTAACCTAGAACTTTCTGACTTAGCCGTTTCAAACTCTACATACAAAAACAAAGCCCCTGACATGTTGTCAACTCTAGCAAATAATAAAAGTACGTCATTTAAAAAAAAAAATAAAAATCCAAAACTCTGTCCAGAAATTGAGTTTTTAATCTGACGACAAATCACGAGAGCAACGGCCAAGACGACATGCACTGAAGACACACACATGCAGTGACGGCCATTACAGCGGCAGCATTGGTGTGTAATCATGAACCTTTTTTTATGTAAAAAAAAAAAAATGTTGCTTGTATAGTTTATTTGGATTTTCCTTTAGTGATAATTATTAAAAATAACTGATTTTTTCCATCAAAACCTACACCAAAAAATATTAGAAAAAAAAATTTTTGACACTAACATGAAAAGCTTTAAATTCAGGTTGAAGCTGCGGAGACGAGTGCGACTTGACAACTCTAACACATTCCAACATGTTTTTTTTTCTTCTTCTCTTCGTCTTCTGACGCCTGTGTACTGAGTTCAAACAGAAACAGTTCTAATTAAAGTTCCATATTCTGGAGCCGGGGAGTTGAGTTTCTCTGCGCGGTGACCTGGAGCCACCAAGTTTTAATGAGTCTTCGCCTCAGAAAAAAAGTTTCATCGGAGTTTTTTTTGTCACAGATTGAGAAGAAAAATTCAATTTCCAAAAGTGAATTATTTAGATTACATCATTTAGTGAATTAATAATCTACATCTGAATATTTTTTAATGAAATATCAACGAGGTTCGGATGCCTTTTTTTTTCCTTTTTGTAAAATTGTAATAACACAGCAGACGGCACAAATAAACACGAAGACAATTGTCTGTTACATTTCATCAACTTTCAAATCTAAAAAAGTCCTCATCTATAGTGTATTATATGTCTCTTTTTTTTAAAAAAATAGTTATTTTACAAAGTTTTTTTACAGAAAAACCAATCATAAAATCCAGTAGGAAAATAAACTATATTATTCCAACATATACTACAATATTTAAATGTATATTTTGAGGTATATATATATATATGTATGTATATGCACTTCATACTGTGGTTTATTCTGGAGAATATTCTGGTTATTTGGCCTCGTCTTAGATCGTTGACATCATAATGAACATAATTGTCAACTCTCATGTTTACAGGACATTAATGATAATTAATTGCAGTCAAATATATATTAATTAACTGACAACCCTGGTTGCTAGGTCGGCCGAGGCAGTTTTCAAATTTCTAGCAAGATGCTGAGCAGGCAAGAAATGCACGGGTGTTTACAGTGATTCCACTTCAGTCAGAGAGGAAGACATTGCAGGTCACATGACGGGAGGAAGGACAAGAAAAAAAGTCCATGCAAAGATGGAGTAGAGAGTGGACACTGCAAGGTCAGAGGTCAGACAGACAGAGAAATGAGGAAAAGAATAATAAAAAAAAATAAATAAAAAAATCACTCACTCATATTCTCCTCCTCATCTACGTCCATGGTAACGGGTTTGTTCGGACCTGAGAGGAGCCTCGCCCCCACCGCACCTGCACATCAGAGGACAGAAGGGCGGAGCGCGTCAGTGATGCACACACACACACACACACACACACACACACGGACTCATCGCCAGCCCTTGAGTGGCTACAGTGGCAATAAATTTCCTCGCTTGACGCCCTGCACGGTGGTAAGTAGCGTGAGGTATAAATATTCAGCGGGTAAAAAAATATCAAGGTGAGCGAGGAGGCCGCAGCTGACGGGCCTTAATAGCAGGAGCACTCTATTGTGACTTTAATATCCCTGCAATTAGACCTCACTTCCCGCCGCCTGCTGTGATATACACACCAATGACACGGCCAAGTCGGCCCGCTGTCGCACACGCTCCTACACACACACACACACGCTGATCAAAGCTTCATTACACAACGCTCCTCGCACCAACATTTCATTAAGTTATTTCCTGAAATTTGCTGAGCGTTGGCTCAAAGAACGTCGAGTGAAAAATGAACCGTCGGTGAATCCACGTCGCGGTCTTACGTTAGCGTCAAGCTACATTCAGTTCAGTCTTTAAATACAGTGATGTACCAGCAGGGTTGGTACACGTCCTCAAAATACAATAAAAAAAATCATGATCATGAGTGAGGAGGTAAAGTAAATGAGTTAAAGTTCACAGGCTGCTGCCACAGGAGGCGCCGTTAAGTGTGTTCCATGAACCGGCGAATCGTAACCACCGGGGACAAACACTGGACCACAGGACGTGACCACGTCTCTGGTCACAGGCAGGGGGCGTCGCAGTTTCCAGGGTTCGACCGAAAACTGTTTATAAAAGAAGAGTAAACGTACGAGTTGGGAGACACTACATCGATGGAAAAAAAATAAAAATAAAAATCTGCTTTGACAGAGATAAAGTCGTCTCGTTTTCAAACTGTGACGAGTGGAAAAACTTCCCAACAACAACAACAAACTGGAGTAAAAATAAAAATGTGTTACTTCTCAGAGAAAGAGAGCGAGAGAAAGTGTTATGATTCTGAACAGATTGTGCTGATTTTCTCTCTCTCTCTCTCTCAGCGTTTGTCTCTCTGCCCGCCTTCCATCAGTGCCCCCATCCCTCAGCCAGACACTTTCTTAAGCTAAACTAAATGGGCTAATTAATCTGGGCTAATGGTGGGTGACAGCAAATATGCTAGCACAATTATCATCCTATTAAAGATTCATATTCCAGCCCATAATTGAAGATGAAAAGGTGGGGTGAAGGGAGGAAGGCCGGGGGGGTCGGTCCAACTAAGCCTCATTTTCCTGCGTCTGGTCTTCAGCCCACAGCCCACTCTGATCACACGGCCCACACGGGACAGACCAGTTAATCAGTAGTTATTAAACCTGAAGTGCCTGAGATGTGTGATGATCAATAAGGCACACGTTTTTAACATTAATAATTAAATACTCACGTATCATAACGCAGCGCCAATGACGAGAGTTCCCACTGGGGGGCAGTCAAGTGAGTTTTATCTATTTAACCCATTTAGCTTTGATGGACTTCACAGTATTTCTAGAATACCACTAAAAGAATACATTTATTTATTATTAATATTGCAATAATTTATTGTATCACTAAAAGAATACATTTATTTATTATTTATTATAAATATTGCAATAATGTATTGTACATTAAACAATTAAAGTTAGTTTACAAAAATAAAAACATTTTTTAAAATATATTTGAGTTTATTTTTCTACACAACATAACATTAAAGTTAGTTTACAAAAATAAAAACTTTTTTAAAATATATTTGAGTTTATTATTCTACACAACATAAAATAATAATTCTTGTTGAAGTAATTTAATATTTGAACACACCCTTTCACCTTTGACCCCCCACCTCACCCCCCACATGCAGCAGTGAGACGCGGTGGTTGAGTGGACGCCATGAGAGGCCGGGAAAGACACAGATGAGAAATGAGATGAAAAACCTCAAATCCAATCTGGCCTGGTTAGAGGGGCTGG